TTTGAAATATAGCTCTGCTTGAAAAAAAAAAAAGGTTTTGCCAAGAAGTGTTACTTTTGACATTCTTGAATGATGAAAAATAAATGAGATCAAGTATCTAATTTTTTTTTAAAAAAATTGCTAAGAATATTTTGATAATCTCAATTTTAATTGTAGCTTTAGAATCTGCATTTAGCATAGAAGGAAATTTTTTTTGAGTTCTCATCATAATAAATAATTAAAATTTATTTATTTAATAAAAGTTATTTTATTTTTTATTATTGGTTTTTATTATTAATTTAAATTGTATGATCATTCATTTTCTTGTCATGTAGTTTCTATTGGTGTTACTAGATCAAAACAATATATAGACTTGGAAGACAATCGTTTACAAAAATATGGTGAAATTGATTCCGATGATAAGGTCAAATATTTACATATTTAATTTTTTTATAAAATTTATAGCATATAATTTAATCTATAATTTTAATCTACCTAATTTTTGTATAACTTTTTCACATGTCTTGGAGAATATTTTTAACTCATGATCATGATGTTAGAAGTTTATTTACAATTTTTATTATGCTGATTTTTTTTAAGTTTATTTACAAAAATTAAATGTTTTGTAATCTTTATTCATAAGAATTGTTATGTTAGATTTTTATAATGTTAAAGACCTGGAAAATTAATATTATGTTTACTTGTGTAAAATGTTATCTCTTTATTGATTTATTTACTTTATACATAAGTAAAATGTGGGTTGTGAGTGGAGGTATGAGTATAGGTAGTAGGTACTCAACGGATATGAGAATAAAGATTAAAATTACTACCTGCATGAATATGGAACTGAGTATGAGTATTATTTTTAAATACAAGTATGAGAATGGGTACTATAGGATCTATCCAGATCCTACCCATTGTCATCCTTATTGATGTGTGACCTCTTTAAAATGTAATGGAACATTTTTATGATACTTTATGTGTGGTTTCCTTAAGATAATTAATAAAGAACTTATGAGTCATATAATGGAGCTTTTGACGAAACTTGACGTGTGACATTCTTAATTAAGATAACTTATAAAGATCTTGTGATGGCATTTGATGTACAACCTCTTTAAGATTTAATAGGGATTTTGATGATACTTTATGTACAATCTCTTTAAGATGAATAATAATAGGAGCTTTTGATAATATTTTATGTGCGACCTCCTTAAGATGAATAGTAAATAGGATCTTTTAATGTCACTTTATGTTCAACCTCCTCAAAATAAATAATGAATGAGAATTTATGATGATACTTGATGTGCGATCTCTCAAAGATGTGATGAAGCTTTTGATTCATTTGATTTACTATTTCCTTAAGATAATTAATAAAGTACATATAATAAGTATGAGTATGAATATATAAATACTAAACAAATAGTATAATGAAAATTAAAGTTACTATATACATAGATACAAAAACTAATACAAATATTTTTTTTTCAAACATGAGTACAAAAACATATACTATACTATAGTACTTACTCTCATTTAACTCATTGCCATCCTTTTTAATTATTAATATTTAAAAATACCCTCATTTAACTCATTGTCATCCCTTTTAATTATTTGTATTTAAAAACATAATGGTTTAGGACATATTTGAAGTCTAAATCACTGAATTAAAGTCACTCCCCAAACATAGGCCAACACTAAAGGCAATAAGTCCTTTCTTTTCTTTTTTGACTAAAAGGAAATATAAAACTTAACTGGTGCCTCACCTTACAATGTGGCCCAATAATATTTTGACAATCAACAAGGAGATCCCTTTCTTTAAATTTTCTTCTGTCCCTTTTAGCATAAAAGATGACCCTTTACTTATCTAATAGGATTAGTGATTCCCTACCACATATTTGGAAAATACTACATATATGATATATCACAATCGCACTCCTAAAATAATTCAAAACAACAAATAAAACTTGAATCTTTTTAAAACTAGGAAACAACTTAACTTTAATTCTCACTCCACGGATGCCAACTGGACTTGTCCCATGTTTTTTTTAATTACAATAAAAAGCATGCTTATGATTCATGGAGTATAAATGTTGGAGTGTAATTGGATGATTATTATTGGGTAGAAATTTTTAAGCATTATTTTAATTATCAATAAAAAAAAAACTAAAAATAACATATTATTATTTTTTATATATAATTATTTATAATAAAAATAAAAAAATAATATTGAATTAAACAATTTCAATTGTCATTGACCACAATGAAAGGCGTGAATCTTCCCATGTGAAGTGTAGCTGACAATAATGATTCTTACCAAATATAATTTATTCACACATCTTCCGAAATACACGATTGACACGTCGTACTCTCAAGAATTGATGATTATCTTACATTCGTGAGACCTTATCCGGTAAAGATATTTGTTGCAACAAAATTTATTATTAATGGTAATTATTTAATAATAATAATTTAATTATTGTTATTTAATTATATAATAAAAATATTAATAATTAATATATAATAGTCACTAAAAATATATTTATATTATACTAAAACTTATTATTAGTGAATTCCATATCGATTAGAGATAAGATAATTAAATAATATATAAGTGAGTAATAATTATTACCTTATAAGTTGATTTTATAAGGTTGAGTTAGACTCCTAATTCACTATTCTAAATTGATATCAAATCACCCACTATTACCAAGTTCAATAGTATTATAAAACAATTAGAGAGTAACTTTCACCTTATAAATCTCACATCTCTTAATAGACAAGACAATTAAAAAATATATAAATAGAAGATAATCCTCATCTTACAAATCCCACATTCATCATAAATAAAAAAGTATAACTTATGAATTTAGAAAAGGAAATTATAGGAATAAATTATTTAAAATTTTACTAGCAAAAGATAAAAGTCACTAAATAGATGAAAATGAGACAATTGAAAAAAGTAACTTTTAATAGCCTTTGAAATGACTACTAGAATTGCCACTAAAAAAAATAAGTTTTTTTTGACAGTTTAGTTGGTCTTTATCAGCATTTTATATAAATGTCGGTAATAGTATTAGCGACCTTGGATACACCATTCATTATTTAAATGTTGGTAAAAAAATAATGGTCATTTATATAACCGCTAAAAAAATTAATTGCCACAAAAAACTAATTTTGGTGTAGTGATTGTTCATCTATATAAATGTATAAATTAATTTTGTAAATTTGAATGGGCCTCAACTATATTAATTTTATGTTAATAAAGGGAGAAATAGACAAATTCACATATAGTCCTCTGAAAATTTCAAGGATTATTTAATTTGAGAAAACGTTTCTTATTTTCATGTTTCATTTTCATTTTGCTCCATGATTTCTGATGTTTATGTTTTTGCACAAAACAACGAGAATAGATATGAAAAGAGAAAATAGTAATAAAAATTATTTTTTACTAATTCTTATATAAATTCAAAAGAAATTAAAAATAGAAATTGTTTTGCTATCACCAGTTTCTTTCTGGAAATACCATCATCTTCGTGCTTGCAAGAAAGAAGAAAAACAAAATAAAAACACTAATTAACTTCAATATATGTTCGAATACTCACACAACAGAAGTTGTCTATTTTTTTTTTTTTTTTCTGCATTCAAATTAGTTCTATTTATAGATATTTTATGTCTTCTTGGTAAGAAAGTACTTCAAACAAGCACATCTTCTAACGATTATCAGTAAAGAGTCACATTTTATAACCTTTGGTTGAAAAATCCCGTCTCATAATTTTGGCTAAAAGGAGACTTCCTTCGATGAAATAATACAATTTCATTAAATCATATATAACCTTTCATATATATATATATATATATATTTAATTTGTAAGAATGATGATTTGGGAGAGAGAACAAAATTATAAAAAAGTGT